ACACCCCGCACCAGGTGCTTGTGCCCGTGTGTGCTCTCGTGTGCATCTGTGTGCTTGGTGGCGAACCCTCCGGTCTGGCCTGTGCTTCTCAGATTGTTAAGAGACTTACGCTGACCGTCCACGCGATGTAGTATTATAGATGCTTCAAAACAACATTTTATTCGTACTTATATCGGTCTAAATGAAACGTACTCTCACAGAATCTATTTAAGCTGAGTATTTTCATGGAATAAATTACTGAACACACTACGTTTTAGCTCAAACAATCACATGAATGTTTATAGCTCTGGAATAAGTTCCTGATGTTGGTTCTCATGTTTTAAATTCAGACTTTGTGTGTTTGCATTACTATAATAATACAGAAGTAAACTCTTCTATGTATTTTTTCTTCGACATTGTTCTTCATTATATCGTGATTTTCGGAAGTAGTGAGATGAAAGTGCTTGTTTAATTAAATCAAACGCTAGAGTACTATTATCTCACTTGCTACTGATACAATTGGTTATAATTTTAATTGAAATTAAAATTTTTAATTATTGCTGGAGGACGAGTTAAATGAAATGAAGCACCGAGGTAGTACTGTTTTGTAATGCATGCGTAGTCTCCTAATACTCCATGTAACTCATACTCAAACTATATACGTTGGGGATATGAATTGGAGAGCTTCTCTGAAGCTTTTTAGATATTGTTAATTAACGAGAGTGCATTGCTTTGCAGATGGTGCTTTTGTCCGTACCTATGTCTTGCAACTTTTCAAATAAAATAGGTGTATCCTTGCGCAATCAAATGCACTTGCTTTAAACAAAAATATGATATGAAACCTGGAGACAATAATTGCTTTGCTTACTCGAGACGTCTTGCTTTTTTTGTATGTATCCGAAATGTCTGCTTCTCGTAAAATATTTGGATGAAATAATGTGGTTCTAGAAACATTCGCTTCCTATACTTACATTTTTACCTGTTATGAATTTTGATGTTCATCTTTGAGCTTGTGAACCCTTTATACGGCATTTGTTTCTGTGTCATTCAACTGAAACAGCATGCATTAGCAGCACACTGAAATACACGACAACTGAAACGTTTTCTTTCATGGCTTTGAGTTTTAATTTTTTGTTTCCAACGTTTCTCATGATTATTCTTAGATAAGGCATGCCTGTGAGGTAATGTTTTTACTTTATCGCGAGTGTTCCTACAATCGCTTGGTTAACATGTTAGTTCATATGAATGCCTACATGTGCTGCGTGACCTCCAAGGCTTTTGTACATAATGCTTTCAACATATCATATTGTTTTGGTATCATAATACTGACTTTTCCTGTATTTCAGAACTTGAATGAATATCTTAAAATATTTTCAATATAACCAAAACCAAAATTATGCTAATGATGTTGCTAAAATGTTTAGTTAATTTCTTCTCTAGATGATTAAAATGCACTTTCAGTTATGTTCTTAAATCTGAAAGTATGTTATTTCAACATAGATAATACCAACTTACTACCACAGAATCCCTCTACATCTTTCAAATGAAAGTAGATCAGCAACGCGAAGTAAATGTTTTCTGAATCTTGGTAAAACACTAGTTCATGATATACTTGAACATGAACGTGACAATAAGTAGACGAGAATTGAACACATCTAATAAAAGTACTCTTTTTACTTTAGTTTCTTAATATATTTAGCACCATAAACATTTCGTTATAACTCTTATTTATGTTATTCAGTTATGTGCCTATAAATCTCGTGACATTTCGTGCCATGTAATGGATTTGCCTGCAAATGTCCACCTGCCATGCGACGTTGGCTTCGTTTGTGAAACATACTTTGAAAAAGGCAGTGATTGTCTGTTAGAACAATGAACTCGAATTCTGTGAAAATTTCATTCAAATAATACCTAGAAAATGGATGGATACACGAGTAAAGGAAAAAGTAAAAAATGGAGAAATATAATTTCGTTTCCTCTGATAATTGGAGGTTGTTTTCAGTATTGTCATTAAATATGGAGTGGTCTTTTCCCCGCAATGAGAAAAAAATTAAACATTTCCGGAAATAAAATAATACATACTGCGAATGTAGTTAAAACTATAGAAACATACTCAAGTATAGTACTAGAAACGTTAGAACGCAAAGTTATATTCCACAAAAATGTACAAATAGAAGGTTACGGCAATTGAATGTTACGCACAAACTAAGTTTGTCAAATGAGCGACCGGCAGGCGAAGAGCGAACACTGAAATAATAACAAAATGAAATAATTAAAAATCTTGTAACAATTTCTTCTCTCTTAAGGGGAAAATTACGCCGGTATCACTTACAAAATCATGTAAGAATTATTTGCCGGAAAATAATTGCAAAACTAATAACATAAAAATTTTAGACTTTATAAAATTCGTTACTTCAGTCCAAATCAACAAAATCGTGCAGTGTTATCGAAATTACATGCATTGGGGGGATAGGTGTCAGATCATTTTAAAATTTTAAAATCTAACTGTATTAGGACATTTTCGTGAGAGATGTCAGGGCGACACTCCAAAACTCACGTAGTCAAGCGTGCACACAGATGTTATTTGATTTGAATCGATGCCTTGTTTTACGTGGCACGACTCAGGTCATAACGCCTACTCTTCTCCCTGACCACGCAATTTCGTTACGCTCCTTGCATCAACTAGCGGAGAAAGAAGGTATTACTTGGGTGTCGAAACAGGGGATTTGAATTCAGCTCAGAGGTACCATTTGGGCTTGAGAATTTTTTACAAACAGTAAATTTATAAACATTGGACTGACGGCTGTACTTTCACTTCGAAATAACATGTACGAAGGATCTTTGCGCCCTTAAAAACCAAAAGCTTTGATTCAGTTTGAATCTGCAAACTTGGGTATAACAGTCTGAGACGCTAACCGTTACACCATTGACGCCACAACTTTACGAGTGCTTTCAAATGTTAAGTCTTAGTTTTGACCTAACCAGTTTCGACTGTGTAGTACAAGTGAACTATTTACAAAATGAGTCCAGGGGAACAAATAGTCGGAACCACAAATTAATACAGTGGTAGTAAAAGCAAATTGACGGAGGAGGGAAAGGGCAAGAAAGCAAAGGTTACGGAATCTGGAAAAAGATCACAAGAGCACAGCAGGGGTAAGAAAAAGAATTAAGGAAAGGGCGAATGTGTGATGAATAGTAATAGATGAGAGATAATAATTATAAATGGTAAGTTAAAGGAGCGAATCAGTCGAGAAAGAAAGAGAGAGAAAGAGACGAGACGAGAGAGCGAGTGAGTGGAGAAAAAAGCTAGTCGGGAGGTCGAGCTAATCGGAAGGTCGAGAGAGTCGGGAGGTCGAGAGAGTCGGGAGGTCGAGAGAGTCGGGAGGTCGAGAGAGTCGGGAAATCGAGCAAGTCGGAAGGTCGAGAGAGTCAAGAGAGTGGGTGAGGCGGCAGAGTGGGTGAGGCTGGAGAGTGGGTGAGGCGGGAGAATGATAGAGTCGGAAGATCGAGTGAGTCGGAGAGCACGAGAGCTCTGCTAGAGCGAGAAGTCTTGCTGGGCGGCCGCGTGCGTGTGGCAGAGGCAAGCGCTGGCGAGAGGTCGCTTCGGGCCGCGCAGTGGCCCCATGAAATGATAATAAACGCCCGGCAGGTCGCTCGTCCGCGCGGCAGGCACGCTTCGCGGAAATCTCCGGCGAGCGCGACGTTCATGATACGTCGGGTCGTCTGGACACGCGCGCAGCCGGGTTCGCGTGCGGCGCTGCTAGAGTACGCTCTCCGCCGCCCGACCCGGCCCGATTGCTATCCATCAGAAATTGCTGGAAACGCAAACAAATTTTTCAGAATATTCCCTTCTCGAAGTCGGGAGAGAATGTTATGAGAGGAATGAGAGAAAGATATGGGCATCGTGATCGTAATATTATTCGGTTATTTCTCCAAAAGACACGTAGTCGTCGAGAATCGCGTTGGTGCTCGCTGGCGATACCTTAAATCTTGTCGTCAATTTTGTCGATCAATGAACGATGGGTCATATGAGGATTGGAAATTTGTGCCATCGATTGGCCCTAAGGATAGGAATAAAGCGCCAAAGAGTACACCAGGATCACGCGCTGTCCGCAGCCCGTTGATTAGATTTATCCCAACATTCACGAGGATCAGAGAAAACGGAGGGAACCTTCGTCCAGTACGTAGGCAGTAAAGAATGCCATTGAACCCCTGCGGTTCAGCGAGATATTTTATCAGAGATACAGGTTTTCAACTTACTAATCATATGTATACTTTAAGATAAATTATATGAATTACAGAAGCCAATAATTTAAACGTGGTCAAAAGCGAACAATTTCTACGGATGTTCTTAGGAAGCTATCCTCACCATTGTATATTCAATGAAAGTACTTTTAGATATTGTAAACTATTTATATTTCATAATCACCGTTGCTGTGAAAACTTTATTACGCGACGTGTCCAACTGACCACATATTATCGTCTCTCTTTGCGTCGCGTTTGTAAATCCTTAAAATTCCTATATTTTTAAAGCTCTTGCTGAGAGCAACGTACAAACGCTGAGGTCTCGTTCTCTCATCTGCCAATTCATTTGTTTCATTGCCGCAACATTGCAATAGTAAATAACTGGTGTTTTGTTTCACCATTGACCTACTCTTTCTAAATTGAGTTTACTGTAATATTCACGAGTAGCGTTTCAGAATTTACGACCGCATCAGCGCATGCGATCAGCACGGGAACAGTGGATGCGGGTGGAGAAGAATGATTGCGGGGTCTCGTAAACTTTTTATGGGGAATACCGAGTCTTACGCGCGAAAAGGTTGAGAAGAAAACTAAAATTGTCGGTGCTAGC